TCTATATAGGGGATCTATTCTTTAGATCCTCCCAGGGGTCTGGGTTACTCATTTTGATGGACATCAAACTAAACCATTGTGGACTCAAAGTCGTCCGCCCACAGCACCTAGGGTTTAGGGTTTAGGGGCAGTACTTTTGGGGTTCAGGGTTTCATCAAGGGTTTAGGGTTTTTCGTTTAGGGTTGTACGGATTAGGGTTGGTGGAGACACCTGAAAAACCAGGGGCAATATCTATAGTCTTGACATAGTTGTAGTATAGCATAGCAAAACACCTTACTCGAATTGCTTAGGCCCTTACATTGCAATCCCTTCAAACCCCTGTAAAAGCAACTTCCGTTTCATTTTGCATTTGATTGTCTATTATTCGCTTTGCTGCCAACAAGAACAAAGCAGGGATCACTGGGTGACGGTGCCGAGAGCACCCATCAAGGCTGCCATGTCGGAGATTCGAACCTTAGCGCAATCAATCGGAGAGTTGTACGGACTTAGCAGGTATGTTAATACTGGGGATACTTGGGATTAACATCTGGCTTTTTAGGGGTCCTAAGGGAAGTTGAGGCCGAGGAAAGCTATGATAACGCAAAGCATTGTTGCAAATGATTTCCGATTTGGGCGATTTGTAGTTCTTTCACTCATGGCCCACTTGTTTGTTTCATGTCTTTGCTCGATGTGGGATCTTGACATGACTCTTCAGGCTGCGAAGTTTTCTGATGATGACCTAGACTTGCAGGATTACGGCGATGGAAAGTAGGTAGTCTCTTCAGTCCGAATTGAAATTTGAAAACTTGTTTAGCGAAAACTGTTTTACAGGCTTTTTCCTAATTTCCAGTTTCCCGGGTGGACCTCCATCCATTTCAGGCCCGCACTCGCACGCTGTCGCCCTTGCGGAACGAGCGCAACAAACGAGTCACATCCTTCGGAAGCTGTCATGGGTGAGGATCTTTGACAGAAATGCTGTATACACCCAGCTTGCATAGCACCAAGAAGTGCCATCCCTGCATTAATGAGCAAATGGTTGTGATGCTATGCAGAACCTTGTCAACTCCCCCCATATCGTTCCAGCACAGTCTGGCGACTCCAATTTGGAGCCCAGCCGGCCTGCTTTTCAGTCCAGGTGTTCTTTCTGGAGTTGTGGCGACTGAGGCCTTTAACATGTTGAAGATGCCCATACACAAACATCCGATGGCAGCCATCACAGTCGCGGACTCCAGCCCCATTGCCCGACTACCTCACTCGTCTGAAAGCTTCTCCATTAGACTTGAAAGATATGTGAAAGTAAAAATCAACTCTGGAGGTCCCCATTAAGGATTAAACCAACAATCTCTGAGAAACTCCTACAAACCACCCAAGAAGACGCGATCCTTCCTGAGCCCGTTTCTGAGACACCCATGTTCGTTCAGTGGCGCGAGCCGAGGCTCAGGGAGAGGGGTCCCCATGGAGAGGGGTCCCCATGGAGAGGGAGTCTTGGCATACTGACACATCAGGACACCATGTACAATGAGGGCATGGTGTCATATTTGAGGCCTGACCGGTGCCCCACTTACCGCCAGGTTGGTGCAGGTCCTCCTCCCTTCGCTGTCGACTGCCTATCCACTTGGCGATCAAGGTCAAAACCTGCGCACATCTTTTTGTCCGAATTCGTTTTAGCAAGCCGTTGGGCTGCATTATAGCGGAATATCGAAGGATGCCCTGGGCTTAGGATCTACGAGCTAGGGTTCGCCAGGGAAGGATCTTGACGGATCCGCAGGCCCTAGATTTTCAAATCTGCGCCACACCGTAGAAGGCTGGATGATAGAGTTTGATTGTCGAGTCATTCGGATTTGGAGCTTTGAGCGCTCAGATTCTGAGAAGGAGGTTTGCGCTGAAAAACATGTGCTAAAATCTTGTGTTTTGAACTGAGCGTCTAGGGTGGGCTTGCATTGAAACTGGAGCAAAGGGAGTGAAGTGCGGCCCTGGAACCGATGACTTAGAACCACGCCGTAGATCCTATCCGACCCGAATGCTTCCCTGAACCCTTTACCTTAAATCTTAAACCCCAAAGCCTAGTTCATGGAAACCATAGGGAATTGAGGGTTGACAATTAAATTTCAAAAGGAAAGCAGCACATTCAGTCATCAACAATAGCTGAGGCATTCGGAAACAATGCTTTTTTCTTACCCTTCGTCATCGCCTTCGGCTATTCCTTGCATGAAAACACACAAGAACTTTAATACTTGGGAAACTACTATATGTACATACATCTACACATCACGCTATACCACAGTGGGGCGCCTCTGCCTCAGAGGTGATGGGCAGGTAGTCCTCATGGGGCCAGAAAGAAGGGTTTTGGGTTTTGGGTTCGGGAGTTTGGCACACTGATCATGCGGAAGCTGGTAGCTATTTGATGGAATCTTTAGGAGGGACTCTCACGACCCCTTTGTTATCCTCATGTATCTCGGAGATTTGTTTTGGAAAAGCCCCGCACCTAGTCTGGCAGTAGCCATGTGGGGTCGTGCTGGTCCTTTGGACTGGAGCTACACTTGCTGGCCTCATGTGGGATGGCATCCACCAACAATCAGGTTCCAACCCTACACGCTAAAGCCTTAAACCCTGAACCCTAAACCAGGGGAACGTAGGGGACCCTCCTGTCACCCACATGGGTCTGCAAGCCGCCGTGTACCCTTCTCAAGAAACCAGTTGATTTATGGTTTAGGGTTGCAGTCCCAGCAACATGCTTGCATACACTGAGAGAACAAACAAGAAATGGAGATTGGGAAGTGCATATCGTATTGCCAATCTACATAATCTACCAGTCTAGTTTGACCCTTTGTATCGTGGTATCTTCTGAACTTTTGGTGGGTGCATCTATGACAGCAGGATGCCAGCATATAGCCCAGGCCGTCAATTGGATCCTGAACCGTATCCCACCCGAGTCCCAAAACCCTATATACACGTTCACTCTAAACCTAACACGCCTACAATTAAATCCCAATCCCCTAAACCTTAATTCAAAACCTGGACAGCTTAAACCCCACACCCGGATCGAATGTCGATATGCTGGGTTAGCCTCGATGTCTGCAGGCTAAATTTCGTGAGCACCCCCCAAAACATGTAGGAGTCAGGGCTAACAATTAGGAAGACATCCCCGCATAAGCCTTAAATGCCGGTGGTATGATATACCCCAATAGCCACGAAACTGCAGTACAAACAAGGTCGCAACATGTTGGGCCGGCATTTCTGCTCCTAAACTTGTGAAAGAAACATGTGAACACCCCAAGGTCAGGACCAAAACTTATCCATAGTCCCCCTGAACTATAAGGTTTAGGGGTTAGGGTTTAGGATAATTACCAATATTATGATTCCGTATTCCTTATATACTTATGGTCTATGGTACCTCAAATGGACCTCAAAATGATATTCATTCCAATCTGGAGTATTAACACGAAGTCTTCAACCTTCAGGCTCTCAGAATCTATGCTGGGCACTTCTGGCAATACTACGATCAGTTTCTTATCACCACCCCCCCCCCCCCACCACTACCACCACTAGCACCACTACCACCGCCCACCACTTACTGCTGGAAGTTAAGGGGTGCAAGGGAAGGGGGGTGTAAGGAGATGGAAATATTGCGCATACACAGACTAGACGAGGCGTAGACCAGGCGTAAACAAAGAGAGATGTTGACAGATATATAGTCCCCCTTAAGTAGATAGAATATGGTTTTGGGTATATTATAATAAGATCCCCATATACCCCATATTCTATCTACTTAAGGGAGACTATATAGACATATATACATATGTATACCCTTACAACCCCCACCCTTACACTGCCCTAGCTCCCTGTTGGTCCTGGCGTAGGATGCTCTCAACTAAGCCGATAGGGAGCTCCTCCCACCTCGCGTCCAGGCTGAGCGTATAAGCTGGGATGACAAAGGATGTATTTTGGGTGGTTGTCAAAATTATGGCCCTTTTTGGGTACCCTAAATATTAGGTGCCGTATTATAATAGGGATCCAAAAAGGGACCATAACTGTTCGGCCTCCAACCACTAGTAGTCATATACTAGGAAGATGTACGGACCCAGATATATTTACAAATATCCCGGCGCGGGGAGCTTCCCAAGATTCACCAAGCTCTGTGTACCCGAGAACTCACGGATCGGATTGCAAAACTCGAAAACTGACATGGCGCTTTGAGCAAGCTCCACATTCCCTGCAGTTGACAGGTCTACCATTTAGATTCTACGGGCACTTCGAGGTCTCCCAAAGGATTCCCCAAGAGATGCCCCATGAAGACCGCTGTCCATGCAAAAGGGGTGGATGTGCGGTTTCAGGTTGATTTGGGGAGGGCAGGCATTAGAATTCTAGTGCTGCAATTTTGCCTCCAGTGGGGAGGGCTCCCCACATCAATTTCAGCTCCAAGCACATGATGTTGTGTATAAGTTATGAGTCCCTCTGGGAAATCACTATGCTCAGGATCTACAGACTTGAGAGTCAAGGACATATATGAGTCTCCAACCCAAAGCCCACGCTGAATATCCTCCAGCCCTCGTCCCTCTCAACATCATACCTCGGGCGCAGAAACGAAATGAGCACAAGCAAGTCGGGAGTTCCAACTGTTGAGGAATAGGCCTTCGATGCAAACAGGATGCTTAACATGCTTCTTGGAGCTTTCAACAATTCATGGCTCCGTGGGTCCCTAATCCCTAGAATGCTCTACAGTCCCAGTTTCCATGGCATTTCCGATTTTCTTGTCCATTTGATTCTTGACTGCTGGGATAATAAGCCCTAAACCCTGTATAACCCACAGAACGGCCAGATTGAAGTAATGAGCCCAAGGCCCAGCCTGGGATCGTTGGTGATTGCGCAAAGGTTTCTGCGCAGGAGCATTGCGTTCATCAGCTGGTCCTGCCAGCAGAGTTCGAGACCGTTTGGAACAGGCTTTTGGTGCATATCATTGGAGCTTGTATGCATAAGAATAGAACTGAGGGAGCATCCAGGCCACCATACCCTACCATGGCCCCCTTACACACTGCGGCTGCTTCAAGGCCTGATCTCCACAGGCACTGCATCCCAAGATGGGATAACCCAGGAGTGTTCAAACTGGGCTCGGGAATCTATGGAAATGAAGGGGGATCAACGTGGTCCATGTGGGCTTGTCTACGCATGCGTTGAGAACTCCAAAGTAAGTGTCTCACTGGCTGCTGCTGGAATGAAGTTACGATGATAATGCAACCTTTGTCTTTTACTAGTTGTCCATCACCAAATTACCTAACGGAGTTCCTCAACAGCAACCCAATCATGGTCGGTTTGGCAGTTTGGCCAGGGGCGCTCGCAAACACTTCTGCCTTTCACCAGTGATCATGAAGACGAGTAGAAGCGCTTAAAACTAAGCGTCTGCCGAGGTAGCTGAAGGATGCAAGGGCTGTATGACCTGAGCTACCCTGTACCCTGGTACAAGTAACTATGGTAGTTATGTACACGCAGGTCGCGCAGGAACCCCATGCTTTTTTCTTCGCCAAGCGCAAATTGATGAGGCTGAGTTGGTACAGGTATGGTGTTTCCTGTTTGTCGGCTGAGCCTTACGGCGTCTGCAGGAACTTTACACCCATTTGCGGCGTGATGCTGCAGCCGCGAAAATCACGGAAGCTGCTTCTCAAAACAGTAGGGACTGCGAAGCTCTTAGGATACAAGCTCTGTGGCTGCAACTCCTCTCGATCTACCAGTGCTGGAGTCCACTTCTTCCTTGCTCCGAGGTCAAAAGGCTGAGCAAGGAGCCATCGACAAGATGCCTCAAGGAGGAGCTTCTGCACAGGGTTTTTTCAGGTTTAGGGGGGCAAGAATCCCAGACTCTGGAGTGGACGCCGCACCTACATGTACCTCAGCCTGCCCCCTTGGCTGAGCAAGGCCCGAGCCTAGCAAGAGTCTTGTTGCTGCAGAGCGTAACCACCACTTAGGGCTTCATTTAACTGGGGAGGAGGTAAGGATTTAGGGATTAGGATTTAGGGTGTGAGGACTGCTGATTCAAGGTTTAGAGCTACGGGGGATGCAGCTACAACGTATCGTACACACTAAAAAACAAGAACAACAACCATGTCTATGTGCATGATAACGCAATGCGTTGGATGCGACCTAGGCGAGGCAACAGCTTAGACAGCTGGTGTCATAAAAACCAAATCAGGGCTGATAGCATCGGTACACCCAAACCGCTAACCCATCTATTCTACCGGGGAGGAAGTTGAGGTGTCCACTTCCTAGCAGAAGATCATCAGGGTCCAGGGTTGAGACGTAACACGCCCAGATCTTGAAGACTTCCAAAACACATCGAGCCCTTGCCTCGCCGAGTCTTTTTAGTGGTTCAGATCGCATGTTCAACATGGGGCTGGAAAAACACATTTGGGTGATATGCACCATGCTAGGTGTTCGCAAACGGCTCTGGAGCCCACTGAGTGGATTTTCTGTTTTTGGTAGCGGAAAAGAAATCTCAGTTCCTTGAAATCCTGGCAGGACTTCCATCGTGCTTCTGACTTCCTCCAAGCCCTCGATCCAGAAACTTGAACCCCCAATCCCACAACCGCACTGCAGCTGGTCAGGGATGCCCTGAGCCCACACAGTTGAGTGAACCGCGGGTGCGTCCACACAACTTTCTCATCTGGCTTGCCGTGAAGGAACTTAAACTAAGTTGCCATGTTATGGATATGTAGTCATTGACAGGCTTTCCGTATCACGCTAACTGGACTTAAGCTCCTTGACAACAATCTAGACTTCGTCATGTAAGCCGCGCGGGAAAACGGCCTTTGTGAAGACTGCGCGTGAGAAGGTTCAGACGCGAAGCAAGTTCATGGAACCCTGCTTTGCAAGCAGTGCGGCTATTGAAAACCAAAGGGGGTCTCCTTACTACTTCTCTCGCTAGTTACTACCAATGATACGCAGAGTAGTAGGAGTAATGACAACTACTGCTGCTGCTGCTGCTGCTGCTGCTGCTGCTGCAACTAATACTTCTTCTCCTCCTACAGTATTTCTTCTAGTACATGATGCTGAAGACAACTACTATCAAACCGCCTCTCACCTGGTAAAAGCCGATCTTGCTTCGGGACGGACGTCAAGCCGGAAGCTCCCAGCTGAAGCTAAGGGAACTTCCAGAGCTCCCTCAGCCAGCGTACACCGCAGAAGACTTGGAACTAGATCTTACCTAAGAAACATGGAACCTGAAGAGGGGTTGGTGAAAGACCACTGTCCACTACTTCATGTGGGCGTCTATGGGATTTATTTTTACCCGGCCAAGGGAAAAGGAATCGGAGAAGCAATTGAACCCAGAAGCTCCATCATCCCGATTTGCCAACTGTTAGCTTGTATGCCGCCTGGCAAGATTAAACCTTGACCCCAAGACACTCCTTCTGAACCTGGCGCACACTGGGTTCCTAGCTCACCTCGCTGCAACCTGAATCCGAAAGCCTGGACCTTCAGTTGCGACTCCAACCCCAAATTCCAGACAAAGTCCATAAAGATTTATAACATCCAACAAGCTTAAGTTCCCCCTCTGCTTTTCAGGCGGAGACTTCAAAAAACCGAAAAGGGATGCCCTTGCGGGAGTTGCAATGTCAAAGACTCTGTTGGGGCATGTGTGGGTCAACTCTTTAGTCGGACTTCATCTTACTGGGTGGGTAGAGAAGAATTAAGAAATATAGGGGTTTCCCAAAATTAGAGGTACCTTTTTGGGGATCCCAATATTAAGGATTATAGTATTTTGGGGTCTGTATTGGGGTCCCCTTATTTTAGGAAACTACCATATAGCTAAGGAATGAAGGAATATTACATAGGGCTTATAGTCCCCCTAAACCCTAAACCCTCATCCGACTTCATCGCGAGGGGCACTTCCAGAGCTTTCCGCCAACTCACTTTCCAGGTGGCCCTCGGCCGCCCGGGACGATCTCGAGGCATACCACCTTGCCGCTTATGTAGGGATTAGGGCTTAGGGTTCAGGGTTTAGAGGGTTTGATTAAGGAGTAATCCACACTGGCGATGAATAAAACTCCCTAGAATTCAAGAAGTTTTTTCGGGCCAAATGAGGGGTCAAAGATAGATAAAAAGGCAGATGCACTTTTGGCCCAAAAAAACGTAGATCTAGAGAAAATTTACTTCCAAACACCAAAAAACAATACGATGACTTTTAAAGGATTCTTACTTGATTTTCAAATAGGTGTTGATTGATTTACAAATGATTCGGAGTAGCTTTTAAATCAACTGTTAGTTAGATTCCGGAGCTCACCCTGAAAAGCTTAAAGTTTAGGGAGACTCGCGTACTTGGCTGCTCTTACAGCGTGAAAGCAAAGCTGATGTTGAATGAATGGGGACCTCCCAGTCTTGGAACGCACAGCTTTGAATCTCTGACAGCGATACATCCAAATCATATAGACCCTGCTCCCGACCGGACACTGGACAACCCAAAAAAAGGAAATGACCTCCGAAAGTGAAGTCTGTATCTTGAGCGTTCTGGAGGTAGGGTGTATAGAGTTGCAACCCTGCACTCTTGAAGCCATAGCCAGTTGAGAGTGCCAGAAAGCGTCTCCCGGACGGGGCCATTGGCGTTCTGAACCTACGCTCAAATCCCGAGGCAACCTTATCATATGCATCAGCCCACGGGGGAGGATTCTTTTGAAAGACTCCGAAGTCAATCCTGTACCAACGTCGAAAGTGCCGGAGAGCGGCGAATGTTTGTGAGGCTTCATCGAGGACTTCCTGGGAATGTGGGATGTTCATGGCTCCGTAAGCTGAGGGTTTAGGGTTTAGGGTATTTGCGGATTTAAACCCTACACCTTGCCCAAAACCCTCAACCTGCAGCCTGTACCCCACACACCGTACTGGATACCCTGAACTTGAAGAAGGCGTTTGAACTG